CTGAGGCGCGGTGCTGCCGGGGCCGAGATGCGCCCGGCGAATTTGTGGGGTTTTTCAGAAAGCCGTAAAATGCTTGGCGTGCATATATATATATATGTTTATATATGGCAGGCACGTAGCCAGGATTTTATTTCTGGGTCCCATGCCCCCCCCCCCCCCTCCCCCTGGCTACGTGCCTGATAATTTATATATATATATATAGTTTGAGTTGTAATGCCCTAATGTTTTGAGCTTAATACACTGTTTGTATGAAGTGTCCATATTTAAAATAATCTCATAGGGGTGTATATGTCCTCCAAATGCAGCACACACACACACAAGCTCGGTTATGTTAAATTTTTTTGTTTCTTTTTTGTTTTCATATATATATATAATTGTACCACAATACTTTTTTTAACATCGGTTTAATTTAGGAGCTTTTAAAGAGAAGAGAGTAGAGCGACTCATCGGTCGCTCGATCAACACGGGAAAGCGTGCCGCCAGCGTTTGCCCGCTACAATTAAAACACTGAATTTAAGGGAAAAAAACGAATGGAGCAACACAAGACTAAGAATTACGTGTCCTTTAGCCGATTGCTAACTAGGAATGCAGGTATTATTCTAACTTTTGCTGCTATTACGAGCGCGGAACGAGCATGGGGCAACATGGCTTCAGTTAGCTTATCACTGCGTGAGTCTGAAACGGAAACTGATCGTGGGCACGCCTTGCGATCTTCATTTAGCTGATTGCTTTCATATCATGTTGCCCTTCGAAGTACTAGAATAAGAGAGGTGCCTAGCCTGCCAGTATAAATACAGAGAGCACTTGTATACCAATAATAGTGGCAAATACTCTTTGTATTCGTCTAGTAAACAATGGCACTCACTTGCCTAATCCTTGTCAGAATATGGCAGGTCATATATACGAATTGGGTCGGTATGAAGGTTTTAGTAGAGAGTCGAGGAGGTGTTGTGTTGGAGTTGTTTGTGCCTTGTTCTGCTGACATGTATGTGCCTGTAACAGTGTTTCGTATCTTGGTTGGTGTGTACTGGTGCACGAGAAGTTGTATGTGTTTTGATGTATGTGTAGTAAGTGGAGTATTATGAGTTGGTGTATGAGTATTTTTAGTACCATCTAGCGGTTACTACTACACTTCCTAGGTGGCTCAAGGTGCCGCTCAATTCAATATGCTAAGGGTTAAGTAGTCCTGTAGATATTGATTACAAAGAGCTGGCCCGCGGTCCACTGGCCTCCCTACTTCTCTGCCTCTCGTTCGATAACAAACGTAATAATTGTGCCACTTAGCCACCTAATGCTCGTTCTGTGTCGAAGAACTGCGAAGTACAGGCAGCAATGGTGCAGGTAGGCACAAACAAGAAGAGATAAAAAATTAAAATAAATAAAAATATTGATAGCGTTCGTGCGAGTTGAACCGTTGAACGCCTCTCGTCGGTGCCGACGAAGGTGCCCAGCGATTTATCGCCGCATACGACAAGAATACATTGTTTTTTAATAAAGTCAGCATGCCCATTCCTCGCGTGACGATTTCTTTTTTCAGCGTTTTCCGCCGGCGGTAAAAATATAGTCCATCTAGTGAGATACCGTCGAGGGCAATCGCGGCGGTTCCGGCACACACACTGCCGTCCTTCCGGGTTATATGTACAATACCGGTGTCTGGGGACGGCTGTTAATGGCGAATTCGGGGGGTCAATCGTCCGCAACTCATTTTGCCGGAAAACCGGCTATAAAGTTCGCATGATCAGTTTCTGGCCGGCGTGCACCGTTCGGGTGGTGGTTCTCCGGCAAGCACCGGCAACTTTCCGGCGCTTTGTCCGCCCGAGCTCCAAACGGCCGGGCGAGCAGGCGCCAGACTGTATCCGGTGTCGTCACTTCCAAATGGGGGAGAAGGTCAGAGAGAAACAATGAGCGAAAGAACGTAACTCATCTGAAGTCACTTTAGTAGCAACTACTCGAGTCAATCCAAGCCGTTGGGACATGGGTGACGGCTAGGGGTGTCGCGAACCGGCCGAGGTTCGAGTTAGACCAGGTTCGACTTTTTCGAACTTTTAGTGGAATGTTTGACGACCTAGCATTGAGGTTCGACTCGTGTGCGCATGCGCGACAGGCCGGCCAGCTGGCTTTGGATGGGGTGGTGATGGTTAAGGGATGAATTAAGGGCAGCGCTGAATGGTTAGTTCAGTTAATGCTGTACAAAAAAAAATAAGTTATCAACTCTTTCAGAGATTAGAATTGTTTTCTTTTAATTGCAACAGTTCATAAAATAGAATAACCCTTTGCATAAAAAACAAAATTCTCCAAACCTAGACATGCTTGTATCAAGGTCTGGCCACACTGTCCACAAAGTCGAACAGGTCGAATTTGATGAAAGGTTTGAAGGTTCGACCCAGTCGAACCCTGAAAGTTCGACCTAAAAATCCGGTGCGACAAAAGTTCCCGACACCCCGGCGGCGACAGCCCCTTGCTAGCGCTGTCACGCGAGCAAGACGCGAAGTAAATTGCCATCGCCTGGAGTTTTGTGTTCGGCTGCTGCGGGTCACGTGGTGTGCTGCCGGCGCGTTTCTGGTTGCCGGTTCCGCCGACCCGGTCTCGCCGGCGATTGACCACCCGAATTCGCCATTAGAGTGTCTGATCTCGCTTCGAAGACGTCGAATGGGCGTATACGCCCTATTCTCTCACTCGGCCGAAAAGCCGTGCTCTTCGCTAGACCTTACCGGGGACTTCGAGCCTCGCTAACCGGCTGCCATGTTGCTTTAGGGGAAAGTCGAATTTGACTACCTGCTTTTTGACTACTTGTGGGGTCGTCATTTTTACCCTACGGTCGTTATATTTGGGACAACTGTTTACCACCCAAAAGGTAGTCACACATGACTACCTTTTTTTTTAGAGTGTAGTACAGTTCTAACAGAGGAACTGTAGAGAAAGATGATTGCCAATAATAGATAATATTTTTTCTTCACTCCACGAAACTATTATTTAATGTGCAGGACGTCTCTGGGAAAACAGAACCGTATTTTTTGGACAGGGTAAATAAGCTGCGCGTACCAAAAGGCTTAAACTCCGGCAGGATGTGGCGCTACCAGTTGGGATAGAGTGCGAAAGTTTCAGAAGAGGACGTTACATTAATAAAAAGATCATTGATTAGAAAACACACTTTCTCAAGGAGCTGACGTTTGCCTAAGACTAATATTGTAAAAAATTACAATGTGGGGACCTGTATCATCTATTTCAGTGAAACAAACTTGTCAACAAGAATGAAAACAAAATTTTCTTTTTTGTTGACAATTGTTTTTCACTGATATGAATCCCACGAGCGTTCACAATATCATTTCTTGTTTTGACGATATTAGGCTTAGGTGGACGTCGTCTCATAGAGACATGTTGTTTTTGTCAGTTATCTTTTAATCCAGGCAAGGTCATCTTCTCAATCTTTCGCATTCTATTCCAACCACTAGCTTTGCATTCTCACGGAGTTCGAGCTTCCTGCGATTCATAGTTTATTTAACCGGGTCGAAAAACACGGTACTTATTTCTCTGGAACTTTTCGTACATATAGTACAAACTACAACGACCCCTCGGTCGTCGCTGTCAGTTATTGTCTCCAGGCAAGCCATTACAGAAGAACTGCAAGATAGTCCTTTTACTTAATGTTGGTGTCCGGTCGGATTTCTGAGATGCTCAAGAAAAACAAAACTACAATGGAAAACTGAGAAAACCTTCGTCAGGATGACATTCCAAGCCTGATCCCCAATATGCACGAAAATTCTTGAAAAGCGTGCCCAACCAGGAACGCTACGCACGTTCCTACTGGACGTGCCCTGCACTTTTGCTTGGAGAGTAGAAATGCCACAGGTACGGCTTTCCCTTCTAGAAGACATTTTCGCTTTGACAGGAGCTCTCTCGCGAGGCTTGTTCTCGACTTGGAATGCAAGTCGATGCAATGACGGTAACAAGGGCGAGCACGCAGCCTTATTGCTAGGCCGACATGTGCGTCGGAATTCAGTGTCCGACCGTGTTATGTACTTCGCCCGGTATGTGTCAGTACAAACAAGGATACTCGAACTTGCTCCAGAACATAAATGGAAGGCAAAACGAACAAGGGGAGCGGTTATAGAAGTTGATCAAAACCACCCACGCGTCTTGGCACGCGTGCGCGAGCCAAGACGCTCAAACTGACGGTAAGACGTGTGTGACAGACGCTACAAGCCACCGGAACCAATGCATAGCTCAGGTTGTGTCAAGTGACCTTCATGTCGAACAAAGCAACGCGAAAAGCATGAGGCCATGTTTTGCGTGTGGGGCGCTGTATTGGCTAACATGGGCTCTTAACCACTATTGTGTCACATCATAAGGCTGAACAGAGTGTAGACTAGTCCATAGGTGGGGTTCGATCACCCAATACCACGTAGAAGTTAAGGCTTTCACATTTGCTCTTCTGACGTCATCACCAGAGGATCTCAGTAATCCTATCTCATGTCGACGACCCGTTGACGGCGTGCCACATAGAGGGCAATGCTGGAGCTTTGCGGTGCCAAGATAGAGGCATCTGACACTTTGTGGCATACTCTTGCCGAGATTCCGCGTGTTAACCGCTTGTAGTAGCTCGAATGTCATGAATGTCATCAAGGTTGAAAAACTGAATGAACTAAGTTTTCATCTTTTGGCATAAGATTCTTCTGCCTTCTACCTTTATTTGCCTTGGTGTTTCAGTCAGTATGAGAATTGTATCAATCATTCTTAGTTGCACTTTTTCCCCGATAACGAAAGTCCACTAAGATCAATAGGCATCTTAAAAGTGTTTTAATAACTGGAAGGCAAAGGCCTTACGTCAGCTCTGATCCTTTGCGCTCGTCATTCTCAGCTGTATGGAAATGGTGCAGTTTGAAATCATTGCTCATCCAAAAACCCCAAAAAATTAAGTAGCAAAAAAGAAAACAGTGAGAGACAAAAAGTAACAATGTCTAACCGACCTACAATTCTTATTTATATAACGGAACACGCAGGTCTTCGGCAGCTGGGTGCTGGGCGGTGTGGCCTGCAAGGTCATCGTGTACCTGCAGATCGTGACCCTGGCCTCGACCACGTTCATCCTGACCTCGATGAGCTACGACCGGTACATGGCCATCTGCAAGCCCCTCGAGTCCAGGTCGGGCCTCAGGCGGGCCCGCTGCATGGTCGCCGCCTCCTGGGCCATGGCCTTCGTCTTTGCCACTCCGCAGCTCTTCATCTTCGTCCAGGTCTGCAGCTCAGGCTGCGTATCGCTGGCAGTCACTTTTCTTGATCAACTAGAGAAGCAATAACAAACAAAAATTCGAATGAAATCAAATCAAATATATTTCTTGTCATATCATCTTACATGACAACAGGGAACTCAGACAAAAATCTGCTAAGTTGCAGCTTGACGAAGCTCCCGGGCCTAGTGAAGTTCGTGACAGCATGAAAAAAATTAAAAATAATTATATGATAATTATATTATACTAATATGCGAATATTAAGTGTAATCAATAATTTAAGCACAAAAAGTATCCGAAGACACCAGACATTTGAACACGAAAATATAGCATATTACATAACACATAACACACGAAAAATTAAGCAACAAAAACAATAGTATTCAAAGGTCACAAATACATAACCAATTTTAATTATTCTTTATTTGAGAGGGTTTCTAAACTTAGACACTTTCTAGACAAACCATTTAGCATGGTGGAAAAATTGAAATGAAGCGTCTGATCAATGCCCTTAGCACGTCATGGACGAATTATTCAGGGCTTATTATGCCTTAGGTCGTGCAGGATGACGGGATCTTTTAAATTAGCTAATTGAAAGAATTGGACATTGTTATGCTGAAGAGCCCTACGATACGTTGTGAAAAGTGTTAACGTATATTTCTTGACTGGTTTTCACGTTTAGGGCTTTAAATAATGATGCTGTAGAATGAAGAATTGGAACACAAGAAATATCACGCCTTGACCTTTTTAGTAAAAGGTGCAACTTTGTAATGTTCGTTATGGTCGTGGTGCCCCAAATAAGGTTGCAGTATTTCAAATATAAACAAACTAACGAGTTCTAAGCAGTTTATTTGATATCAGAAGAAAGTGTAGCTTTAAATTTTGTTATTAGGTTAACATTTTTAGATAATATTGATTGAACATGATCTTTATGAGCATTGAGCTCATATCATTCGAAAGAAACACACCCACTATTTTAGATTAATTTACGAATTTCATTTGTTTATTGTAAAGTAGTAGAACATTTATGCTTTTATTTCAAGGTTTTAAAACAATGGCTTTGGTCTGTTTACTGTTTAACGTTATTTGTTGCTCAGTGTCCAGGCTGTAATTTTCTTTAACACTTCTTGCTTTGTTTCCAGTAGAAGCAGTACCATACTCATGGGAAGCAAACATACTCGTATCATACGGGTAAATGATCAGTCTTACACCACCGTTTTGAGTCACGTTTACGATGTCGTTAATGTACAAAATAAATAAAAATGGGCCTAAAATGCTGCCCTGAAGAACTCCCGATGATATGGCTAGCCTATTTGAATGAGAATTTGGAAAGGACACGTCCTGATTCCTATTAAGTAAGAAGGATTTTAAAATATCAAGCGCTATGCCATCATTCCAGAGAAACATTTGCCAGTAAAATGTTATGATTCATGGAATCGAATACCTTTTGAGTAATAAAAAAAAATGGCTAACGTTATCTTTCTTTCGCCCGAATGCCTTTACAATTACTCCTTTTTTGTTTCAATAACGCTGTTTCAGAAGAGCGAAGCTTACGAAATTCAAATTGTAAATCAGAAATAAAAAAAATGTTTATCAAGATGTGTTAAGAGCCTTTGATGCAAAGTTTTTGAAGTGGCTTGGAAAGGACAGGAAGAACTGAAATGGGCCTATAGTTGCTCATGTTCAACGTATTCCCGCGTTTGTGTAGGATATTGACTTTTTACACCTGCATTTTCAGTGGAACAACGCCAGTTTCAAATGCAAGTTTATATAGATATGTTAAATATGGTGCGAGTTTATCAATAACGTATTTTATAGGTCTTATTTGCATGTTATAGGCGTGAATAATTTTACTGTTTTTAATTCATAATAGTTGAGCACACTTCCGACTCATCAGTGGGGAACAAAAAAAAATGTGTTTGTCTACGGCAGTGGCATGAACTTTATCTATGTTTAAAGCTTTTTCTATACAGGAAAAATACACACAAGTAGATGCCCCAACATTTACAAAAAAAATTTAAACGCATTTGCCATGATGATTTCTGTTACTTTAACGTAGTTTACGCTGATTTCATGGGGCATGCTTTGGAATGGCTTATGGTTGAGCAATGATTATATTCTCTTCCACATAAAATAAGGTTTCTTAGTTTTTAATGGGTCAAAAAACCTGTTGTTGTAGTCCCGCTTAGCAGTCTTTAGATGACTGGTTAGAATATTTTGGTATTTTGTAAAGGTTACAAGGTTACTCACGTCTCTCGTTTCAAAAAGTGGTTGATATAAAATATTCTTATTCCGTATCATTGACAGAAGTATAGGCGTGATCTAAGTCCTACGTGATTTTAGAGGCTCTGAGGTTTACAAATGGAGAATGTTTCGTACAGATTTCACTAATGCATCTAAATATAAATTTTATGCGGTGTTAACTGAATTGGTTGACAAACTTTGTTGTCAAGATGTACTTTCAATTTCTTCTCAAATACGGCGCAACTGATCAGGAGTGATAGACTGAACCTTAACAAACCGGGACAGAGTCACTGCGGGTTCTCTGGGAACGTTCATTTGGCAAGCAAAAATAAATGGGAAGATGATCGCTTATATCAGTTAAGAGAACCCCTGATGTTATCACTGATTCCTCGTAGTTGGTCATGAACAAATCAAGCAAAGAAAATTAGGTGTTTGTTATTGTTATAGGGTGGTTAATAATATTCAACAACCCACATGACTTATTAAGGTTTGAAAAAGAGTTCCTCGAGCTACGTTCAAAAATCATATCAATTTTAAAATGCGATCGCTTCTTGGAACCTACAGTAGAGCCCTCCAAAGCTGTATTAAGCAACTACATGCACATGTTCTTTAAACAAATAAAACAAATTTCACGTTTCATTTACTGCAGAGCACGCTGTGAATGATTTTCTACTTTCAGCCGAGCACACCAAGCAGTCTTTTTATTTCTACCCCGTGATATATTGTACGTGTTTCGACTGTACCTCCGCGTGCTGTGGGGAATGTGAAGGTGCAGACATCTACTCTGGTATATCCTCTGTGTTATAGTAATGCAGAAACATCCCCCAGGCATACAGGTCATTCACATCTGCATCCATACCAGAAAGTTCAGCAGAGCAAAATTGTACTCTCTTCTGGTAAAGGTGAAAATACTTCACATTTACTTGCGCAAAAGACGCCATTGAGCTGGTAAGTTTAAAACTAGCCTATTGTGAACTTCCAAGCAATCAATAGTGTGGGTATGGAAGTGCACGTCATGCGGCATTTAATGTTTCGCGTTTCCAAAGCTGCTCGGAGGATCACCTGGTTAGTTGAATATTATATAACTTATTTCACGAAACATTCACGAGAGCAAAACAAACACAAGCATGACCCTGAAATGACGTCCAGTACGGCGATGGTTCCCAGGTTCAGACGGGCGTGACGGCGTCCGGTCGGCCCCACCTGGAGTGCCTGAGCGTGGGCTACACGCACCACTGGCAGCGGCAGCTCTACTTCAGCTGGCTCACACTCTACATCCTGGTCGTGCCGGGCCTGCTCATCTCCGCCTTCTACCTGAGCCTGCTGAGGGCCGTGTGGGCGGCATCCGACGCCATCGCGGTCATGCCGGCCAAGGACAGTGGCAACGGGGCTATGGCGCTACGGCGCTGTACCCGGGCAGAACCCTTACTGTCGCGTGCGCGAGCCAAGACGCTCAAACTGACGGTAAGACGTGTGTGACAGACGCTACAAGCCACCGGAACCAATGCATAGCTCAGGTTGTGTCAAGTGACCTTCATGTCGAACAAAGCAACGCGAAAAGCATGAGGCCATGTTTTGCGTGTGGGGCGCTGTATTGGCTAACATGGGCTCTTAACCACTATTGTGTCACATCATAAGGCTGAACAGAGTGTAGACTAGTCCATAGGTGGGGTTCGATCACCCAATACCACGTAGAAGTTAAGGCTTTCACATTTGCTCTTCTGACGTCATCACCAGAGGATCTCAGTAATCCTATCTCATGTCGACGACCCGTTGACGGCGTGCCACATAGAGGGCAATGCTGGAGCTTTGCGGTGCCAAGATAGAGGCATCTGACACTTTGTGGCATACTCTTGCCGAGATTCCGCGTGTTAACCGCTTGTAGTAGCTCGGATGTCCTCTAAAAATGGTGTCATTCACTGGCCTCGCCTTCTAAGTTTGTCTTGGCTCAACACGAAAGTAGGAGAAGGCAAACTTCTGGTAGTCCCAATTACCGAAAGCTCTGCACAAGCGATTATCTCTGGCCAGACGGTAAGCCGGAGCGCTATCAAAATGCTAAGGAAAACACACACATTGATTTACAGCCTCTTAGCAATACTGTAATATTAAAATAATTAGGCGGCCTTTTTCTTCCTTTCATTATGTTTCGTTGCTGCAGAAATAAGTGTTTGAAAGTGAGCAGGGGGTTCGCACGTGACCAAGACTACGCTATTTTTAATTTGTGGGTTTCATCAGGGTTCAGTGCCCAACCCGTTTGGGGAGGGGAAATTTTATACTTCATTCACACGATCATAAATGTACCTTCAGCTCAATGGCCTTTATTGTCAGCGGCAAATCAGTTCGCATATGTTAGGTCGTGGCATGTGCTCGCGACCCAAGATTGCGGGCTGAGTCACCGATTGCAAAGGGACCTATATGGGCACCCTGAGTCCGCTAGGATTCGCTACCGATCGCCCAGCGAACAGCGCCGCGCGCGGCAACTTTTGATTCAGCGTAGGGAAAGCGGTAGAGCTCCGCTGCCGCTCGCGCTGCTCCCGCGCTTCCGCCAATGTAATAAAATAGCCCCAGCAAGCATGCCGACCTTGCAACACCCACCGGTGTACCACTGTAGTTGAGCTGCGACTGCCGATATCGCTTCCCCATGAGTACGCCCGACGCCGCCGGGAGAGGCGCGCGTATCGGCACTGAGTTAGATCTGCAGACTGCTCATTAAAGATACCTTTGTGCTGGCCCTATTAATTGGGATATAACTGAACAAGTTGACGACAGCATTTCATGTTAAACTCGCGGTTCATCCCAGTGTCGACATAGAAACAAGTGCATTGTTACGCAACTTAATGCGCGCGGACACCGAACAAAGAATGAAACGTTCTCAAGCTGAAATCTTCACGCTAGATGTAAGCCCACCGAAGTTATAGACTCCTTGAGAAGTTGTACCAAGTATGACACATGAAAACTTGGAAATTGTGTCAGTTCAACCCCACTCGCATTGGATAGCGAAAGAACATAAACTTCGGGGTTAATTTTTATAGTTGGAGCTTCGCGTGATCTCTCTGCACGTGAAGTATATCGTAAATAAAAGTTTGCTATGAAATGTACAACTTAGATATAATGAGGCGCAGCTCCAGGCGGTCTTCTGCTTGGATTCTTTTTGAAAGAGATATTATCTCACGATACACCAATCCAGGAATATAAGGCTATTCACTTCAGTATATCATAAGTTCGAACGCAGTCGAAGGGTTGAGCACGCACAAACATGAACGAACATACTAAAGGTGCAAGTCATTGCGCCTTCACTGCGCTTGACTGGTTTAAGCGGACGATAGAACACGTAAAGGAAAGATCACAAACGCACGCACTGACGTACGCACAGAAAAAAGAACGCGGTTGTCCTGTGCTTGTCCTCCGTGTTTTATTCTTTCAATTTTAAGGAAGCACAGACGTTGTGCATTAGGTTCGCAGTGTCGGCCGCTCTCAGTGCAAGACGAAACAAAATAGTCTCTCACGTTCTCTTTTTTTTTTTTACTTTAACCATCAAATAAGATTGATAGGTTGGCTTTTCATGGCTTATCCTGTTTCGTAATTCGGTCTAATGTTCCAGTAACACCTGCAGACCGGTAACGAGTTAAGGGTACTCTACATTCTTAGTGTGGTCGTACTTAATCGTCACACCTTTATCACGTGACATCCTATGATACAGTCGACGCTACGAAGTAATGGTACAAATCAAGCGGCGTCATAAACGCAAGTCGCTAGGCCTTTGATCATGTTTATTGTTGGTTCAACAATAATAAAACACGTAGAGAAACTTGACGAACACCATGATGGTGCACTTTTGACGCTATCTGATTGGTTTCTTCAGCTCGTAGCGTCGGCTCCCTCTGGACTTAAGGTGAAACAAAGAATAGTTGCAGTACGGAACATAAATAATCGCCAGCGGTTGCGAATCCATGGAGGCTGTTCATTGGCTTTCTTCGCTAAAGAAATATGGAATTCAACGTTGTGATAATTAAAACTTTTTTTTAGAGAATCGAGCCTTCAAAAATAATGTTTTTATGGCAGCCTAGAACAGTTTCAAGTAGGATTATCTAGGTTTTCTAATCCCAGATAGTAGCTGAAAATATTACGTTGCATTCTTCTGTAAATTGGAAAGAAGTATCTGGTTGCTAAAATTTTCATCCATCTAGTGATGTCGTACCTTCCGAATTTTGAGCATGAATGCAATCCTTCTCTGCGCCGTTCGCATTCGGCTTCACGGCACGACGCGCGTGCATCGCACAGAAACCCGACGCCTCCACAGTCATGCGAGGCTTTCAAATTTCCTAATCACTTCTTGAACCAGAAAACCAGCGTGATTAATATTCATTACACTTGCGCGGTGTCTCGTTTTCTCATAAACATGCAGAAGTCTCCCCGGAGCGCCTTTGATGTTTAGTTTCTGGAATATTATGAAACATGAGATTCGGCAAACCGAGACCTACATTTTCAGACTTATGGGCTTACTCGCTTCCACAGTTTTCTTCCTCTTTTTCTTCTTCTTCTTTTTCTTCTTCTGTGTAGAAACCTTTACTCGAAACAAGCTCCTCATAATATTCTATAATAAACTAAATAAAGATTTTTTTTGTTATTTCAGAAGTAGCATTCCAAACCTTCCTCACCTTCTTGACTGTAAATATTAATCCAACTACGTAAAACCCCCAGAGATAGCCCCCATAAAATAAGAAAATCGGGTAAAAATAAGAGCTGCGTTAAATTTCGATTAATATTCAAGAAAAGATTAGAAATGCTAATTTTAGATTATGTATCCCTGCCAAACTTGTTATTGCGGCGAGGGACAAAGAAGCAAAAATGGCTATGCTTCACATTCATCAATGTGCTTATATCCAGCAATAGCTTACCAAACGCATTTACGCCGAGGCCATCACTGAGCCGAGCACTAAACGATTACTAGACGTGAGCTATTTATCGGTGTTTCAAATAAAATAGCAAAACAAATTCAAAATAGGGGCAGACTCTCTTTTGAAAGTGGGGCATTTCCCGGCATATTTATGTGTGGTGAACTTGACTAACACATTCGTGCTATAAGTTATCGCGTTCAGCCACATGATAGCCTGCACAAAATTAAGAGGTCTGTATTATTTATGACTCGCGTAGTTTCGCGTCTGGGACTAGTGTTAAATTTATTGTACTTCGCCGCAAGTTTTGTACTTTAGATATATATATATATATATATATATATATATATATATATATATATATATATATATATATATATATATATATATATATATATATATATATATATATGTACACCGTTCCATGCATGTCTATTGGGCACGGCCAGGACTGTGAAATGGTCTGGGGCTCTATACGTTTTGGATGCCAATCAATGCTTGTAGGAGCAGTATATAGATGTCCTCAGGCCAGTATTGATGTCCTAAAGAGTTTATCTGAGTTCCTTCTAACTAAAACCAAGCAATTTTCACGTATAGTTATGGCCGGCGATTTTAATTTGCCAGAGATATATTGGAATTGCGTGATGTCTAATGGGATATTCAATTAGTCTAGGCTTCTTGTTGACATAGCTTTTAGTAATAATTTAAGTCAAGTGGTCAAGTGTCCCACACGTGTGTCAAATTATAGGGAATTCTTGATTGATGTCGTGTTTTTATCTGAGGTCGTTACAAAAAGTATTCTTATCGTATCCATCGCGGATGGCATATCTGACCGTGCAATAGTTGTATGTGACCTATCCGCAACGCAGAATGCACACAATGAAACCGAAGCAAAATCTTATCGTGATTTCAACAGGGCGAATGATATCGAGGTTATAGACTTCTTGGAAGTAGCTCTAGACAGATTTCTTGCGTTTTACGATGCGAACCCGGACTCAGTAGATAGGCTTTGGATCTTTTTTAAGCAAGCCATCCTTACATATGTTGATAAGTTTATTCCAGAGCGACCGGCAAAAAGGAAGAGGCACAATCCATGGGTGACGCGCGATCTTTTACATTTAAAGCGAACATTAAATAGAGTAGGTAGGTTCCAACCAAAGTTTATAATTTATGCTTCCTCCTCTTCGACAAGAGCTACGAACCTTTGTGCGCACATCTAAATAGCGTTACTTTAATGCCACGATGCACAACTTTCTCATAGAAAATCCAAGAAAGTTCTGGGCTGATTTGACAAAAACAAAAGTGCGATGATTAAGGAGCTTACTAAAAGCGGGCAGACATTTGCCGATGAAGCGAGCATGGCAAGTGAGCTTAATTATTTTTCTTTCTTCTGTCTTCACCACATGTTGCCTTCATTTAATCATGACAGTTGTGGAATCAGTGACTTGGTGGTTTCTGCAGAAGCTATTTTTAACAGTCTTTTGCAATTAGACACTAGAAAGTCGAGTGGCCCAGATGGAATTCCTAACGCTTTCTTACGAAGGTACGCTGAATGGTGTTCCAAGTTTCTTTACGTGATTTACTCTTGTAGTTTAAAAACTTGTGACGTGCCTCAAGATTTCAAAGTATCCAAAGTTGTCCCTATATATAAAAGTGGAGAGAAAAAAGTGTTTGCAACCACAGACCAGTGTTATTGTTGAGTACATGTAGCAAGGTTCTCGAACACTTCATATTTAAGCACATCGTAACTTTTCTACCATCTGAAACTTTCTCAGCAGATTATCAACATGGGTTCCGAAGAGGCTTTTCGACAGTGACACAGCTGCTTCATGCGGTCCACAATTTTGGTTCAGTGATTGATAACAATGGTCAAGTCGGCACTGTCTTCTTAGATTTTGCGAAGGCGTTCGACAGGGTTTCGCATCGCGAATTACTGCATAAATTGAAGCAAGTCTTGGGAAATGATCGCCTACTGAGGTGGATAGAATTGTACCTTACGAATCGTAAACAGTTTGTGTGCGTAGGCAATGCTGAATCAATAGAGTTACCTGTTCTTTCTGGAGTTTCCCAGGGCTCGGTGCTCCGACCGTTGCTCTTTTTGGTTTTTTTCAATGACCTGCAAATTGATAATCCCTCGATACAGTGCCATTTTTTTCCTGATGATTGTGTATTGTTTTCAAATATATATTGTGTATCTAACCAAAAATGCTTAGAGGAGAGAATTCAAATCATTTCATTATGGTGTCAAATATGGCAAATGAATCTGAATGTCAAGAAATGTGTGCAGATGTCAATTACACTGAAGAAGGTGCCTATCTTTTTTTGTTATTCTATTCATTCAAATGCTTTAGAAGTAGTTAATAAACACAAGTATCTCGGTGTTACTATCACGACCACCTTAAGCTGGGCTAGTCATATTAAGCAGACTGTCGCAAAAGCGTCAGGTAAATTGTGGTCGCTACGTAGGAAAATGTGTCACTGTACTCCTGCGACAAAGCTGACAGCCTATAAATCGCTGATTCGTCCTTAGCTGGAATATGCTGACGTTGTATGGGACCTGCACTCGCAACCGCTCATTGACCAATTCGACGGCCTTCAAAAAAAATCGCTTAGGTTTATTTACAACTCATACGGCCAAGATTCACACGTGTCGCCATTGTATACCGCCTCCGGAGTGTCTATATAATCATGTCGAAGGAAAGTAAAGCGTTTGACATTTTTGCATAACATAATTCATTACAAAGCTTGTCTAAATTTTGATGATTATTTGCAGTATAACGCGAGTCGTGATACAAGGCAGAAGCACGAGGATTTGCTTCTTGAGTTCCGCTGCAGAAAAGATGTTTTTAAATACTCCCTTTTCCCTCGTTCTCTCTGTGAGTGGAACGAGTTGTCACCAAGTGTGACGGCGATTGCTTCTACCACTTTATTTGCGAGTGCAGTTGATGAATTGTTTTTTTATCACCAATGACTAAGCTACTTCTTTATTGTTGTTTGTTCATTCGACTCATTGATGGTTTCTGATGTTGTCTATCATGCCTTGGCCCTCAAAAGTTGGTCGGCAGTATTCTCAAATAAATAAAAATAAATAAAATACATATATTGCACTGGGAGACACGGGTGGGAGCGCTGACTGTGTACAGTACTTTCTCCGCGCGACTGCCATCGCAAAGGACATCAGTTTATAGAGCAACTATATAGTCTCACGTCTATACATTTTGTACTCTGGCCAAAAACATCTCATCAATAACTAAACGTACATTTACCCACAGCTGGGCTCTCATACACACAAATTAAAAAGGCGCGTGTGCATATTGCTGCATAAAAGAAGCACCCACCAAAACCCCAGGAAACCTAACAAGCTCCAAACGAGCCGCGAAAAGTTTCTAAAATGCTTTGTTTTTTAAAAGCTGGTTCCGCCATTTTTACTCACAAATTAGCGGCACTGGAGTTTTGGCGACGGGTTTCCACGTTCTTGACTACGGGTTTGTAATAATCCCAGTGCGCTTCTGAATAAACAATTCCGCGATCTCCACACACGCTAATAACCCTCAAACCTGCGTGTAAACTCACTAAAGCCGCGGTCACTCTACTAACACATAGTACAAAACACAGCATGCAGGCACTGCCTGAGACATTTTTCTGCCTTGTATGATGGTACTGTCAGCTTGGTCATACAGAAACTGTCTGGAGACATGTTTGAATCATACAAATGTACGAAGCAGACATGCTTGAGCTTTGTCCGCAGATAGTTATGTTGCATGTCTGCAGGAAACACCGTGTCTTTTCTGTAATGTATAAACTGTATGACTGCGAAATAAAGGTATTACGTGTGGTTGCAAACACGTTCGTATCATATCTCCCCCTAACAGGTCTGCATCATCGCCAGCTTCGTGCTCTGCTGGATCCCGTACTTCGCCGTCCACAACGTCCGCATCCACAGTCACTACTGCATCAAGGTCCCCCGGGCGGTCATCGTGTTCGCCGAGACGCTGGCCCTGCTCAACAGCGCCGTCAACCCGGTCTTCTACGGCCTCTTCAACTCCCACATCCGTCGCGGACTGCGGGACATCATTCGAGCTTGCAGAAGACGCAGCGACCTTGGGCCAGAGCGCGAGTCCACGATGCGCAAGGGAGGCAACGCCTTCACCACGTCAACGTGTGCTCTCGAAGCGTCCTCGGGCGACTGCTTTCCCGGGCAGCCCTTGAAGACAATGGGCTCCATCGGTGCGGGAAAGTTGATCACCAACGGGGACATTGCTGTGGTCTGAAAGTATAGGTCACAAGGACGCCATTTGGATGGGGCCGTATCAACCGGTGTCGTCACAATCACGTGCACTGCTGTCGAAACGAAGATGAAGACGTGTTCCAACCGTTCCTGTGTCGTGAATTATGCTCATGACATTCAACAAGCCGGATCTGGAACATGACCTGCGTCGGTCTGAGTGACGGCCCTTACGTGGGTCGGTTCAAACTGACTTTTGATCTAAGGCCAAGGTGGGCTTTTGGGGATACTAGGTGGTTGTGTAATTAATATTTAGTCCCAGTGTTTACATTCGGTGTGTGATTGGAAAACTTGGCGAGTAAAAAACAAAACAACTCTATTTCAATGGAGGCCAGAGGAACTATGGCCTTTTTAGTTTATTTTGCTGCCTATTGTACCCAGGTCGTCGAAATCCTACATGCCTGAAAGACGGCATTTCCCTATTGTGTTTTAGGGCGCTGCAATGAATTAGCCTGCCCCCTATTTGCCGTCCGGGTTCGGTTCGAGAGAGCAAGAGTAAATGTGTTTTATTTGTGGTAAACGAAGACATCTCTTTGAATCAGTTAAATTTTAATTTCAGCTGCTCAGGAATTTTAAGTCATTGGAAGTGGGAAAACCTCAAACATACCGGCCTGTCTTCGGTTCGTTTCATGGTTCTCCTGGCACTGCATCGGTGGTGTGAGTAAAATAACAGGACAGAAAAGGAACTCATACATGCACTCAGCGACGTCGTTGATGAGTATCAGTGAATCCTTATATGCCACAGTCCTGCATCCGTCTTTGAGCCTCGCTCTCTTACGTCAAAAAGGTGTGTGCAGAAAATGCAGCCGAAACAAGCGGTAACTTTATTAAATTTACTTAATTCTTGGTTTAATAAGCTCTGGTTAATTCAGACACTTATTCCGTACAATATCTTTGATTCGGAAGATTAGTCTCGTATCACCAGAATAGTTGTGAATCGTATCAAATAGCTTTAATGACCCGTCCAAAATACGGATTGATCGATTTTCTTGTGTTAAAACTAATTCATTGTGTTGCCATAAACATAACACGATTTGCAGTTATTTTTGTAGTGTTTCGCAGAGGGTAATAACTTTTTTTATGAACCCTGAATTAATGGTGTAACTAGTGTGAGTTTCCCGCCGTATGTAGCAATTCGTGTGATGGAAGAAGAAATTGATATCTTGGTTCAAAGCAGCGCGACCAAACAAGGACAAAGTAAAGACGAGACAGACGACAGACGACGTCTTCGCTTTATCCTTGTTTTGTCGCGCTGTTTCAAACCCGTATGCTCATCAACCAACTAACCATAACGTACATTTTAAGAAATTAATAAAAAAAGGCTCAAGATAATATAACAGGTTGTGTTCATTTCAAGGGCATTTGGCAGTTCCCTGTCGTTCCTCCTTCCGTGTAGGGGTTGACTATATTACTAAAAGGAAGCCAACGTGCCTAAAAACCGAAAGCGCTTGCAAAAAATAACGCTAAAAGATTAGGTTCCTTTAGGGGCTTATTTACAACTTAGAAATAAATATCGCGAAGGTCAAGTAGAAACTGACGGAACAAGCGCTAACTCACAAGTGTCGTTTTAATATTCATACAAGAGGCGAGAAAGATGAAGCGTCTCTCTCTCGTCTTTCTTTTCGGCATGAAAATTCCCAAAATGAAATTGCCTTGATGGGGAGAGGAAGTTACGTTGAAAGAACTAAGAAATAAAGAGGAGGACGTTACGTTAAAAACATTAGAAATAGAAGAAACAAAGAAAGAAGAATTTGCTGACAGTAAACCAATATAACAACTTCCAGTTTTTTAACGTAACGTCCTCTTCCTTTTTATGTTATTTCTCAGTCCTTTCAACTTTAACTTCCTCTTCCCATCAAGGCGATTTCATTTTGGGAATTTTCACGCCGAAAAGAAAGACGAGAGAGAAATGCTTCCCCTTTCTCGTCTTCTGTGGGAATATTAAAACGACAGTTGTGAGTTAGCGCTTGTTCCGTCACTTTGTACTTGACCTTCGCGCTATTTGTTTCTAAGATGCATATCAAACTAGCCCACCCTAATATTTTAGTACAGCTTCTTTTCATGTAACTAAAACATCAAAAGCTTTTTATTTATATTTTTTTTTTTTTTTTTTTTGTTTTTGTTTTTGCCTGGAAATGGGGCGGGTAGGGAGCTATGTATTTTCATGGAGAGCCCTTTTCAAATGACGAACCTGCGTGTTCGGAAAAGGTTTTCCTAGTTAAACAAATTCCGATACATTTTATTTCCCGCAGCGTCACAAAAAGTAAATAATCGCGGTTGCGCGTTCGCCACAACAGCCTCTAAGCGCCACTATTTTACATGGCGGCGCTTAGAGGCTGTTGACATGTTTATGCCTCTGAGTTAGTTTAAAATTACAGGAAGACGCCTAACCCCTTGATGCCCAGTATTGCTCAGTAGCAGCAACTCAAGAATTATATAATTTCTCTCATGCCATGTGAGTATTGTATTGTATTGTATTGTATTTATGTGGCGATTCCCTTTGAATCATGCGTCTACTAAATAGACACGCCAAAAAAAAATAAAAAAAATGGTTAGAAATCGGAGTGTATCCACTAGTTTCAACAATGTACTGCCCACCAGGCCTCGAGTCTCCGCTTCGAGCACTGCACATACGTGTTCTCCTCGGTAAACCCGAGGGCTTGCTCGATGCGAGTGCTGACGTCTGCTGACGGTGCGAGTGCCGGACACTCAAGCACCAAGTGGTGTATAGTTTTTTCCACTTCCCCACAAGCACTGCATTGGGTGTCGCTCAGGTTGCCGTCGTATTTTCGTCGATAGAGGCGGGTACGCAAGGCACCCCCTCTAGCCTCAGCGAGGAGCCTGCTGCCCAGTGTATTACCACACCAGAGGATTGGAGCAATGGTGTTCTTGAAAGACGCGTAAAGGTGCATGCTTGAGTGTTCTTGCATGTCTGCTCTCCACCGGTTCGCCTCGACGGTCTTAATTTTTTCTCTCACCTTGGCAACCCATTCTTTCTTTGTCGGAGGCTCGTCAGACATTGAGAAAGCCCCGTATTTCGTGCCCAGTCGGATGGTACGGCATCTCCATGTTGTGTGCGCGCCTCTTAGGTGAATGTACACGAAAATACGCCGCGCCCAGCGATCTTCATTCATGTGTCGCAATCGGGCGTAGTATTCCAACTTGCTCCTGCCCTCCCGTGCCTCAAAGGATGACCAGCCAAGGTCTCCTTGGACCAGTTCGTTTGCGACTCTTCCATGGCATCCTAGTGCCTGACGTCCGATTTCCCTTTGGCGCCGCTCAAGGTATTCTCAGATCTTGCTGGGGGCACATGTAACGGCATTGGCGAAACTCAAGCCTGGTACAGCGACAGCTTTCCAAAGTTCGCGAGTTATTACATACCGATCGCAGCACCAAAGGCTTTTTCGACGTAGCAGATTTCGCTTCCTCAGCGCTCACGCCTTGAGAATTTCATGGTGCTCTGCTAGGTAGTCTTCTGCACTGGTCAGGGTCACTCCAAGGTATCTGTATCCGCTACTAACATGGAGCACAGTGTTCTGGATGGTGAGGGATTCAAGGCCCTCGCCCTGCCCGGAGAAAAGCACCACGGCCGACTTGTTGGCATTGAATTGCAGTCGAAGCCGAGCCACTTCCGCTTCGCAGGCGATCAGCAGTTTCTTCATATCTGAGACGTTGTCGGCCATCAGTACTAGATCATCTGCGAAAGCGAGCCCGGGGAGCCGCCATTCAACCATGTCTCCGTGTTGCATGTGTCGCAGAGCGCAGGTATCATCGCAAGGGCAATGATACATGCGCTTAGTAGTTGAAAATTGAATTGCCTTTTCAAAGGAGATCACAGTCCTTTAAAACTAAAGCTGACAGGGGATGTGAGGTATGATGGCGTCCACCAGTGACCTCGATACTCCAAGAAGAAAAACAGGCGCAGATATTGCAAGTTCAGTTCCAAGTGTCCCAACTGTGCTAAATCCGAAGTGCACCTTTGCCTTCTCTCAGGTCGTAATTGCTATCGGTCATTGCATATAAAACAATGCTGCAAATGCCCAATGCTGCTCACAACCAACAGCGATCGGACGCAGAAAGCCGAGTCCTCACGGCCCCCACCGGCCGTGGGGACTCGGCTTTTTCCGGCCCGGACGATTACAGGGTTCTTCTGCCCCAGCTGCCCTTCAGGAGAGGCGATGAAACGTGTCGTCGTGCTCCACGGCGACATAGCTTGTCGCCCATATCGCGCTGAGGACTTTTGTCAGACAATCGGCGAGGCAGGCGTGCTCGGTGAGGTTGATCAGGATTGGGGTGTTCCAGACGTCCCATATCTGTCTCCTCGACATCAAGACGGGCGCGGACAAGACGAAGCTCCTCGAGGCGGGGCGACTCGCCGTCGGGGGCCGCACATGCCTCGTCGTCGACACTTTCTGGCAGGAGGTGCGGGTAAAGCTGCACTGGGGGAGCGTTCGGCGTTACCAACGTTGCCATCCATCAGGCCTTCTCCGAGTTCGGGAAACTCAAGGAGGTGGCGCACGTGAGTCAGAGGGTGCCGGGGATCGAAGGCGTTGAGTCGACGACCAGGATCGTGCGCCTTGTTGTGCGACAGGGCGTCAGCATCTACCGCCTGCCTCACCAGCTTCGGCTCGGCGGTGGCTCGATGCTCGAGGTCATGCCTGGGCGGGCCCCTATTTCCCTCTGGTGTCGCAAGACGGGCCACATCCTTCCTGACTGCCGGTTCCCCAAGTGCACCGAGTAAATGGCCTTTGGCCACGAGCGGACTGACTGCGTTCGCTCGTACGCCTGGGCCGCAGGACGAGGTGCGCCCGACGAGACCGACGACCGCCTCATGGATGAGGATGAGGCCGAAAGAGCGGCAGCCTCCGAGGTGCCCCCGACGGAGCAGCCCAGGAAGGACGAGGTGTCCGACACCGTATCCGAGGGGACGAACACCCCGTCGTGGGGTACTCCGGCGATTTTTTTAGCAACACCACCTAACTACATTTTCGAAATCGCCATCTTTTACTCTTTCCGGTATGCTATTTAGTATCGCGAAACTCAAAATAGTGTTCGTTAAATCGGCAAATGAAAATGACACCGAAACCAAGATTCGAATATACATGCGCTTATCATTGCCGTGACGTCACGGGATGGCAGGCTTGCGGTTCGAGCGGGCTGTCTTAAAATGAACTATGCCGAGCATTTGTTTCGCGATACTGCACGGCAGCTGCAGCGAGCTTCCAAAGCATTCCATTTGACACCATAAAACTGTTTGCAATCAGTTGGGAGCAGTCTACAGCCCAAAGAGTGAACCCCTGCCTTCGCATGACGTCACTTTTCCAATGTTTCCAGTAGAGCTTTTCGCTTTAAAAAACGCGATGAGGACCAAAATTGTAAATTCTATAACTTTGCGAAGAAGAGTTATTTTGGTCAAATATTTGGGTTAATATTTCAGCGATGTTTGTTTGTGTGTTTAGCAAGCTTTTAAGCAAATCGGGGACTATGAAGAAAACGCCGGAGTGCCCCTTTAAAGGGATACTACAACGAAATTTCGGTGCTCATTTTTTTGGTCTATATGTGTTCAAAAGAGCAGTATCACATGGAACATACCAATATCTTGTTAAAAAAGTCTTGAAAAAGAATTTTAAAACGAATTAAACGATTAGCAAAGAGCACCTGGTGGATGTCGCTAACGCCTCGTTTGTAATGCTCGTCTAGGAACCTTGACAGCTGGTGACGGAGGTTGTCTCGTCTTTGGCCACGACGAGAGAAGGGGGGAAGGAGGAACTTCCCTCTTCCCGAGAATCCCTTTTGTGTGTCGCAGAAGTCGTAATTGTCCCCCTAGAAGATTATAGAAGATTAACCCGTCACTCAAAATTCGTACAAAAGCAGCCGCTTCGGTGGCTGGAACGACTAGGCCATCCTCTCTACGTCAGCCTCGCCGTAGCTTTGCTCGTCTTGAGACGACCTACGTCACGATTGCGTTGGATGTCACGTGCTCTAAGCTGGGCCTTCTCCGAGCGCTTGCCAGAGTGGGCCGTTTATAACGAAAAATACAGCCACCAGGATCAAAATACAAACGTGCGATTGTCATTTACGGATATTGTGGATCATAATCAACCTATTTTTGAACACGACGGGAATATTTCAAATTTCGTTGAAGTATCCCTTTAAAAGGGGGTGCAATGATTTTCGGACTTCGGCCAAATATTTGCGGAAGTTGCCTCTGACTCTTTTAAAGTATAGAACAGAAAACCGATTTCGCCAACGTGCCCTAGTTGCTGTATAAAAAAAAAAAAAAAAAAAAAAAAGATAATTATAGGCATTTTTGGTCACTCCCAGTCTTCAGGGTCAC